CAAGATCACATATCTACTGGGAAGGCTTCTACTTCAAATTGAAGCATTATATAGTCATGTGGAGTATTGAGTCGTGGTGGCGCAGTGGTTAGAATGCAGTGCTGCAGGCTACTTCTGCTGACTGCCAGCTGACTGTAATTTGGCAGTTCGAATCTCACCAGGCTCAAGGTTGACTCAGCCTTCCATCCTTCCGAGGTGGGTAAAATGAGGAACCAGATTGTTGGGTTCCTCCTTAGTAATTCTCAGAGTCTATCTTTGATAAAGATGCAAGTGATTGCTTTAGTTTGGCAAAATTTCTGTTTATAGGTGAGGAACAATAAAGGAAACTGCTTGGAAGTAATTCTATGCATCTTTCTTGGTTTTTGAGTCATGGTGGCGCAATGGTTAGAATGCACTATTGCAAGTAAATTCTGCCGACTGTCAGAGTTCAATTCTCACCAGCTCAATGTTAACTCAGCCTTCCATCCTTCCAAGGTGGGTAAAATGAGGACCCAGATTGTTGGGGGCAAGAGGCTGACTCTGTAAACCACTTAGCTATTGCTACTACTAAACCAGACTAACGTCATTGCCATGTTTATGCATATGGTGTTTATGGGAGACTCAAGCATATTCTTGGAAATAAAAAAGGATGCAGAATCCCCCTTGCCATTTTTAATTAAAACAGTCTATACGAAAGAAGGAAATAAAATCAGGAAGAACTACAAAATTTGGTGAGCTTCAAGGCAAGTATCAATATAGTCCTACTTTTACTCTGGATATCAAGTTGCCTACCACTATTCTGGAAGGTTCCAGCTCTTGCCTGATCCTGTTCTTAGGCTTTCTCTGACTCGGCCATCAGCTCATCTCCAGTTTTTTCATCTGCCCAATTTAAAGAAACGAGGAGTAAAGTTTTGGACCCCTACCATTATTGAGGAGAGTCCAGAAACTCCAAGAAGGCAGGCCATGCCTCCTGTATAGCTGGAATCTAACATAAAATAAATCATGCCTCCTACTGAAGCTGCCATCAGTCCAGCATTCAAATAATGACGGCCAGGCAGGAGAAGAGGAGCAGAGTTCAACAGACCTAGAAAGAAATGAGATTCAATGTATAAAGTCAACTGTTTATTAACTCTTGCGGTAGGGTGGGCTGAAAATGTGAGGAAGGTCATTTCTTTCTATCAGTGTCATGTCCTCTCACTTGCCCAACTGACTGAAATTAAGAATTGACTTATTTGGCTGGGCAGGAAGAGACCCATTGTGGTGTACTGGGGATGCACTGGACTAGGACTGGCTAGGACAGGGGTTGACAACCGATGACTCTGGAGCCACCTGTGGCTCTTTCATCCTTCTTCTGCAGCTCCCTATCGCCAGTCGGCTCCACAATTGATAGGGCTTTCAGTTAGGACAGGTAGAGGAAAAAGGATGCCATACTAGGAGGAGACTCTATGGTAGGGGAACCATACTTCTGGTCGGCAGAGGAAAAAGGACGCTGTGCTAGGAGGAGACTCTATGATGAGGGAACCAGACTTCTGATCGGCTCCAGAATTGAATGGTGGGCTTCCAGTTAGGACCTTTGTGGCTCTTTGGGGGTTTAAGGTGCTGACCCTGGGCTAGGAGGTCTTCAAACAAGATCATTGAAACTAATTTTAACACCTGATCCACCATACCAGTCTTTTTCAACCTCAGCAGCTATAGGATGTATGGACCTCAACTCTGGCTGACTAGGGAATTCTGGGAGTTGAAGTTCACACATCTTAATACTGCTGAGGTTGAATGTCTATGGAGATTCTCAATCATTCAGGTCATGGTTGTCCCAAAAGTGCTTTTCCAAAAAACAACTGGGCTTTCTTGGGTTTTTTTCCCCATGGAAAGCTTTTGCTTCTCAAGTACTGAAGAAGCTTCTTGGATGAGAAGTGAAACGCTTTCAAGGAAAAAGCCTAGAAAGTCCAGTTGCCATTTGGAAAAGTACCTTTGGGACTTGCTGAGGTTGAGAAATGTGGACTAGATCATAAAAAGTCCTTTGGTCTGTATGAGCCATATAATATGTCGGCTAATACTGTGATACAGAGTCTACTATTCATCAGATCTCGAGATCATGTCAAACTTGTTTCAAAGAGTTTTTGTTTTAAAAAAGTCCGGCGCCAACTTTTATGGAAATTCAGTCTGAATAGGATTTCTATCCCTTAAAAAGCCATTGGTGTTATTAGGCATTCTGCAGACGTTATTAAAATATATATATATCATGTGTCCTGATCATGAAAGGACATACCTTGCAGTTTTCCATAGGCTACCAAAGAGCCACTGAACGTTACACCTCCAATGTAAGTGCCCAAGTAGGCCACGGTTTTGAGAACACTGGCAGATGGATGTAAATCAAGGTGTGGATATTCAATCATGTACTCAGCAACGCAGGTCAAAACGGCTGCCAAACCAACCAGGCTGTGAAAAGCAGCAACCAGTTGTGGGAGATCGGAGATCTCGATCCGTTTTGCAATTGTGAGACCTGCAAAACGAAGCAATTGAGATCCAAGGTGAAAACAAATTGATTTTATGCTTCATCATTCTCTTGACCCTGTAGAATAGAATAGAATAGAATAGAATTCTTTATTGGCCAAGTGTGATTGGACACACAAGGAATTTGTTTTTGGGGCAGATGCTCTCGGAATCATAAGGTACAACACTTAATGATAGCCATAGAGTAGAAATAAGCAATCAATTCATACTAGGAAACAATCGAAAGAGAATAAACTATGAACCTTAAGTTCTCTCCCTTTTGAGGTTAAGAAAAAAAGATACGACTGGTACATTGTGGTCTAATTTTAGAATTCCTTCAAGGTTCCAGATTAAATTATCTAGCACTGCAGAGATCAAATAGGAAATGGGAATCCCTTATTTTCATGCAAAGGATGAAAACTGAAAAAAAGGAGGGATTCCAGGTCCCTAGAATAGTTACTATAATGTTCTGCAACACGTTTGGAGTTCCTCATCCACTAGGCTTTTACAAAAGCCATTCTCTAAAAGTACACAAGTAAAAGCCACTGCCATAAATAATAATACCCATTTTCTCCTGTGTTATGTTTTTTTTCTGCAATTGGTGTGAAAGTTCCTGCTTCTAGAGTTATAACCTTTAGTGGATTGTAGTCTGGATTCCAAAGAGGGTGGGGCTTTTTCTAGAGGAGCAAGACACCATAAAGTTTTAGATAGTTTTGTTAGGAGAAAGAGAGAAGAACTAGGCAATTTTGATACAGCTTCTTCTTTATGAACATATCCATCGTTCTGTGACTTCAATCTTCCTGACTACTTCATTTTTCAGGTGACGTGAAAAGGCACCAATTATTTTTGTTGAGTTGATTGAGGAGGAAATGCAGGACTGACCCAGTGATCCATTTCAAGTAGAAGAATTACCCACATGTACAGAAAACACAACAAGGTGAAACCCACACAGAAAATCTCCGTGTTGTTATTATCGGAGGGCTCACACACCTGAGCACAGGTGAAGCTCTTTTCAATTTTAGAACGCTTACCCAGATGGCTAATCTTTAAACCAGCTTTACTCAGGTTGCCCAAGATATTTAAAGAAATCATGAGCCTTCTCGCTTTTATACTTTTACGTCGGATCCGATTGCCTAACGCTTTAAAAAATGCGAACTGCTTTTGTTTTTTAAATGAAAAGCGGTAGATTTGTTTTTTTATAAATAAATAAGCAAGCAAGCTGGAAAACCTGATTTTCCACTTGTTGATGCCAATAGGGGACTAAAATAAGATTTCACACAAATCCGTTTCAGAGCATGTTTACAAGAGTTTGGATTCTGTGAGTACAGCAGATTCATCTTCGCCCTGCACCCTCCCTGTTTCATGTTAATTCACAAACCCTGCTGGCGTAAAGGAGGGCACCGAGAGAAATCAAAAAGAAGGAAGCAACATGACATTTGTGAATAAACATTACTGACGTGAAAAACCTACTTTGCATGGTAGCAGTGAGCTGGCACGGTTGGTTCCAGATGAAATGTTTCCTACATTTACTATGTACACTTCACGCTTCATTATTTTCTTCTTACTCAAGAGCTCCATCTCTTGGAATTAAACATAACTTATGACCCCAAAATGCAGTACTAGATGCCAGGGCATCAAGATCATCTTATAAACACCATGAGCAATTTTATAAAGAAATTGGAAAGAACAGTTTTTGTATATCCAAATGTCACCCTGGATCTATTAATAGAACAGAATAAAAGTATTGGAAGGGACCTGGGAGGTCTTCCTGCTTAAGCAGGAGATTTTATACCATTTCAGACAAATGGTTGTCCAACATCTTGAAAACTTCCAGTATTGGAGCATTCACAACTTCTGAAGGCAAGTTGTTCCACTGATTAATTGTTCTAACTGTCAGGAAATTTCTCCTCATTTCTAAGTTGCTTCTCTCCTTGATTAGCTTCTACCCATTGCTTCTTGTTCTATACTCAGATGGCTTGGAGAATAGTTTGACTCCCTCTTCTTTGTGGCAGCCCCTCAAATATTGTAAGGTTGTTATCATGTCACCCCTACTCCTTCTTTTCATTAAACTAGACATACACAATTCCAGCAACCATTTTTCATATGTTTTAGCCTCCGGTCTCCTAATCATCTTTCCTGCTCTTTTCTGCACTCTTTCCAGAGTCTCAACATCTTTTTTATATTGTGGTGAACAAAACTGGATGCAATATTCCAACTGTGATTTAACAAGACACAATAAAGCAACAGTAACAAATTTGTGATTTTGATTCTATTACTTTGTTAATGCCACCTAGGACTGCATTGGCATTTTTGGAAGGTGAAATGAAGGTGCCCAATCATGATTCTAGGAATATCAGATTTCCCTAGGAGACTGTTTCAAAACCACTGGTCAAAAGCTCACCCATGGTGCCGCCCAAGGCCATGGCTGTGGACATCTGGGCCAATACTTCGGGGGAAGGTTTCAAACTGCCCAAAGTAGCTGCAATGCCAGCAGCAACACCAATCATCCCAAGGGCGTTGCCAAGTCGTGAAGTGCTCTGACTAGATAAGCCGGCGAGTGCACCCACACAGCAAAGGCCAGAGCCCAAGTATATCATCTGCAGAGGGAGAGAAGCAAAGCATGTGAGGGGGAAAAGTTGTCATTGATCTCATGTCTGTAGGTTTTACTTATCATCCTATTTTCCCGCACCAAACTATGAGCAAGTACAGGTATTCCTCGACTTACGATCGCAATTCAGCCCCCAAATTTATTTTGCATTTGTTAAGTAGATTTTGCAACATTTTATTATCTTTTTTTTTTGCCACAGTTGTTAAGTGAATCACTCTGGTTGTTAAGTTTGTCACACGCTTGTAAAGTGAATCTGCCTTTCCCGTTGACTTTGCTTGTCAGAAGGTCGCAAAAGGGGATCACTTGACCCCAGGACACTGCAACTATCATACATACATGGTCAGTAACCATGTGTCCAGATTTTGGTCACGTGACAATGGGAATGCTGCAATAGTCATCAAAGTGAACAAACATCATGAATCACAGGAAAAAAAGGTCATAAAATGGGGCAAAACTCACAT